ATAGAGAACATTGCCATTTCCTAAAGTCTTCTGTTGGCAAGTTGATCTACATACTTTGAGAACAGAATGTTTGCCCAGAATATGTTTCACGTAAAGACCTTCTTTGTCTGTGTGCCATTGTGTCACTAGCACTTAGAACTAAGCCTAGTTCGGAGTCAATTAGTTTTTTTGAGCATTAAGCAAATCTGAAAGCCTTGACATTGGTCATATAGTAAATAAGTTGTGCTACAATTAGACTGTGTCATAGCGCTAAGCCATTAAAGTCATGTTTGTGAAAAAAAATTTATTTACATTAGAAAATATGCAAAGGAACTGATGCTACATGGCAATTCTTACATCCATTCACCCCATTTCTTCATTAGAAATACAGCAAAAACCTAGAAATCTGTTTTTTTTTTTTATTATTCATATGTGCATAAAATGCTTGGGTCATTTCTCTCCCCTGCCCCCACCCTCTCCCTTACCACCCAGTCCGCCCCCTCCCCCTCAATACCCAGCAGAAACTATTTTGCCCTTATCTCTAATTTTGTTGAAGAGAGAGTATAAGCAATAATAGGAAGGAAGAAGTGTTTTTGCTAGTTGAGATGAGGATAGTCATACAGGGAGTTGACTCACATTAATTTCCTGTGTGTGTGTGTTACCTTCTAGGTTAATGCTTTTTGATCTTACCTTTTCTCTAGTTCCTGGTCCCCTTTTCCTATTGGCCTCAGTTGCTTTTAAGGTATCTGCTTTAGTTTCTCTCTGTTAAGGGCAGCAAATGTTAGCTAATTTTTTAGATGTCTTACCTATCCTCACCTCTCCTTTGTGTGCTCTCGCTTTTATCATGTGCTCAAAGTCCAATCCCCTTGTTGTGTTTGCCCTTGATCTAATGTCCACATATGAGGGAGAACATAGGATTTTTGGTTATTTTGGCCAGGCTAACCTCACTCAGAATGATGTTCTCCAATTCCATCCATTTACCAGCGAATGATAACATTTCGTTCTTCTTCATGGCTGCATAAAATTCCATTGTGTATAGATACCACATTTTCTTAATCCATTCGTCAGTGGTGGAGCATCTTGGCTGTTTCCATAACTTGGCTATTGTGAATAGTGCCGCAATAAACATGGGTGTGCAGGTGCCTCTGGAGTAACCTGTGTCACAGTCTTTTGGTATATCCCCAATAGTAAAAACCTAGAAATCTTATTTTTAGATGAACATACTCCTATACAGAATCAAAGATTATAATTTCCAGCCTCCCTTACTATTATGGGTGTTCATGTGACCAACTTTTATGAAATGAGATGAAAACAAAGGTGTTACATGACACATTCAGAGAATTTCCTAGAAGTCACATAATTAGTTTACCCTTCTGTACCTTTCTTCTTGCCGTATGCACTGTAAATGAAAAATAAAAGGTCTACTCTACTGCAAGACAACAAGCTACCACATATAGCTATTGAAATTTAAAATTGTTAATATTAAATAAAGTTTGAAATTCAGTTTCTCTGTCTTACATTGCAAGTGGCTAATAGCCAGTTCTGTTTTGGACAGTACAGATTCAGAACATCTCCATCAGTGCTGGGCTTTCTATCTCTATAGTTTGTGATTCTATCTCATCAGCTTGATTTTTTTCTGTTACATGAAGTCAAATCTGTACCTCAGGGATACAAATTATTGGTAAAAAAGAATACAAGATTACAGAGAGAGAGTAAGTTGCTGTGTTCTACTACTTTCTCTTGAAAGATATTTATTATCTAAAAATGTATTTTTAAATGTGACAAATCAATACTTATGGACTAACTACAGGAACTTCAATGATAAGGTAGTATAATAAGACTGTCACTGTTTCTTGAGTTAAAAATAATTAAAAAAATTTCCACAATATTCTCTGTCACTTAAAACAATGAAAAATGCTTTCCTTCATTTTCTGCAAGTTTTTTCCCAGTGAGAGAAGAACAAAGTGAGTAATTAGCTCTCAACAGACCCAAGTCTCAACCCTCAGTAGATGGGGGTAACCCCTGAGAGTTTTGATAGTCTCATTTGAGTAGACACTATCAGTCTGTGAAATATCCAACTACTGATAGGTCACTGATATAATTCTGCCCATAGCTCTCACTGGGGAAATCAAACTCACACATGAGAAAGGGGCCTTATCACAGCCTGCATCCTAATGTGCTAACCTTTATATCAGCAAGGTATCAAAAGAAATGGAGGGTACCTCCACTGTGTTTAGTTCTGGACCCAATAATTTAAAACATGCACTAACAGATTATAAGATTATTCTGCACAAAGACTATGTTACAGTAGATAAATATTTTTAAAATATTAATTAAATACCTATAATATGCCAGCCACAAAGTTAGGCACTTGAAAGCAATTAAGTAACAGAGAATGTTTACTCTGACGAAGCCTCAAAAGGACTGAACTATCTTCAAAGCTTGAAAATCTTGGGCTTGAAGTGCAGCCTTACAGAGAATACCACCAATGTATAGACAAAGAGGCGGTCATCACACAAAATAAAATTAAAGGCCTATACTAATGATGATGGTGGTGTCGTGATGATTGTGATGGTTAGTATTTATTGAGGGCCCTGTCCTTTGTGCTATGCTCTTCCCTAAACTTTTATATGTTTATTATTTGATTTAATATTCAGAATAATCTTATTAAGGTCATCCTAGGGTTAGTCTTATAAAAATGTATTTAAAAAGGTGAGGAGTGGTAGGGGCAGATAAATACAGTAATAAAGAGAGTGAATATGATCAAAGCACATTATATACATGTCAAAATGAACCCTTTGTAAAATGAATATATGCTAATGAAAATAAATAAATAAAGCCACTGTTCATCCACAAGTTCATCAAACACATACAGAAAAAAGGAAAAAAACCCTTAAGACTTAGAGCACTGCAAGGATGCTCTATCCATCTACTATGCAGGAAGCTGCCTGCATTACTTCAACTGATCTGTAAGAAAAGGTGCATGGGTGCCAGAAAAATTCAGTGCCAGTCTATGCAATTCCAAAGCCAAAAGAGGCCAATTTTATGATATTCTCTAACTTGCTCATGATGATGTGAACATTGTGGTGTTATGGAGATTCCGAGAGGCAAAACAACAGAGACACAAACTCCTGAAGAAATAGCAATAGACATTAAAGGAAATGTACATGGTGTGGACACTTACAATAGGGAACAGAAGTTGAAATGCAAATGTGCAGAGGGAGTCCACATTGTTTTCATCTAGATAAAGATAAAAATGAACCCCTTCTCCCTTTTTTGGTGATACTGTGACTTGAACTCAGGGACTCATGCTTACTAGGCAGGCATTCTACCTTTTGAGCCACACCCTCAGGCACCTCCTTTTTCAAACATTCTTTCTTTTTTTGGTGTTGGTGCTGGGTTTTGAACTCAGGGCCTTGTATTTGCTAGACATGAGCTCTACCACTTGAGTTGTGCCTGAAGCCCTGAAAAAACATTTGACTTTATATTTCCCAAGTAATGTGTAGAATATAATTTTGATTTCTTTCACAGTACTGGGATTTGAACTCAACCTAACATTTGCTAGGCAAGTGTTCTGCACTTAAACTGTCCCTCATCCCTTTTTCTTTAGGGTTATTTTTCAGATAAAGATCAAGTTTCTCTCTTTTGACCTAGGAACAGCCTCCACCTCCTATCTCCTACCTAATCTGATCCTTCCACCTCTACTCTGGGAACAGCTGAGATTGCAGGCATGGATACTAGTTTTGTTTATGAACGGAGCACATTATGAGAATCCCACGCTCTCTTTTGTACAACACATCACAAAAACGAATCACTCGGGGACTTTTCTGCTAACCATAATCAGATGGTCTGTGATACAAGATTCCAGTGACCAATCAGATGGATATAAAATCTCAAGGGCATAATTTTTATTATATTTATTTATTAGCACAGATTAACTATACCAAGGGGCTTTATTGTGGTATCTATATATATGTGTATAACATATTTTGATCAAATTTACCCCCTCCATTACTTTCTTAACCCCTCTGCCTCCTCCCTAGTTTTTTTAGTTTTTAGTACGTTTCATTTTTGTTATTTTTACTATACATATGTAAAGTACATTACACAGATATAATATTCTTTGATCAAATCACCACCATCACTCTTTCCTTTTCCTTTCCCCTCTCTACGGGTTCCCCTCCCCAAACAGTCCCTCTTTTATATTATTTTTTAGGCCTAGGTTGTGCATGAGCAAATCATACAATATTTGTCTTTCTGAGTTTGACTTATCTAGCTCAACATGATGATCTACAGTTTCAAAGCTTTTCTAGCAAGCAACATAATTTCACTCTTCTTCGTTGTTGAGATGACACTTGTTCCACAGTAGAGGAGATAATCAGATTAGTTACCACATCCCTAAATATCCCTTGATAATTCCTTAAGTTGGTTTTCTTTTTTGCTGCAACATAAGCTATTATCCTAACAGAATTTAAGTCAGCAGGAGAGAGGAGAGGAAGAAGAAGTAACTTAAAACTATATAATATTTGTCAAAACTTTCTCCTTTTCTGGCAGAAGTTAAGTGGAGGAATAGCTCCTAATCTTCTATAGTACAGCAGGATAATGATGAGTGACAGCAATTAATTTAAATGTCTCAAAATAACTAATACAGAGGATACTGAACTTTCCTAGCACAAAGAAATGCAGAATGTTTGCAATACACATGCCAATGACCCTCATCTGACCATTACAAATTGTATACAAGGATTGAAATATCACAGGATACCCTGCAATTATGTACAATTACTATTTGTCAATGAAAATACTAATATTTTAATGTATTTTGCACCTGTACTTATTTTGAATCTTTAAATTAGCCAAATTCATGATTATGGTGGATCTTATCAGCCAATCTAGTTCCATAAGATTCAGCAAAAATATGTGACCACTTTCTTGCATATCATAGAGCATGAAGGAGGTCTTTGGTTACTAAATGGTAACATTATGTCCTTATGTTTGTAACTTCCATTCTTGAATACTTCTCAAAGAAACAAAAGAAACTTCAATAATAACCAGAGACCTTTTTTCATACCCCACAACTTCCTCATAGCAATTTTCACCTCTGCATTTCTGAGAGTGTAGATGATGGGGTTCAGCATGGGAGTGATGACTGTGTAGAACACAGCCACGAGTTTGTCCTCAGTGAAGGTGGAAGAGGGTCTCATGTAAAGGAAGATGCAGGTCCAAAGAACAAGATGACCACTGTGATGTGAGAGGCACAGGTGGAGAGGGCTTTGTGCCTCCCTTTTGCAGAATGGTTCCTCAAGTTGACCAGGATGACAATGTATGAGGAGACTAAGATGAAGAAGGAGCACAGGGCAATTAATCCACTATTGGCCAATACAGTGACCCCCTCTACAAAGGTGTCAGTGCAGGCAAGCTTGAATAATGGCTGGAGATCACAGAAATAGTGGTCAATCACATTGGGACCACAGAAGGGCAACTGGATAGAGATGAGAACTTGAATTATGGGGTGAACAAAGCCCCCCCAGCCAAGAACCAGCCGCCAGCATGTGACACCATTGGTGACTCATTATGTTCATATAATGAAGAGGCTTGCAGATGGCCACATAGTGGTCATAGGCCATCACCACAAGCAAAAGGATCTCAGCAACCCCAAAGAAATGGAAGAAGAATATCTGAGCCAGATAGCCCTTCAATGAGATGGTTTTAATCTTAGCAAGTAAGTCAGTGATGAATTTAGGGACAACTGTAGAGGAGTAACAGATCTCCACCAAGGACAGGTAGCTTAGGAAGAAGTGCATTGGGGAACTCAGACTCTTACTGACACTGACTGTCACAACAATGAGCCCATTACCCACCACTGTGACCAGGTAGACGGGGAGAAACAACACAAAGCACACTCTCTGCACCTCTGGATCCTGGAAAAGGCCAGTGATAATCAATTCAGTCACATTATTTGTAGTGGCCATGGATACAACTCAGGTATGCTGGACATCAGATAGTGACATTCCTGAAATAAAACATTGTAACACCTATTCACTTCTTTTTGCCAAACTTCAAAGAGTCTATACTACTCATTAATCATTCATTTAACCAATATATTTCTGTTCAAAATTAAGCCTTAGCATTTTATCACTTCATATCATTTTACTTTATTTAATTTTATTGCTAGAAATTAGAAGTTCAGAAAAATGATTACTTTCTCATAATCACACAGTAGTTGAATTCTGGCACTCAGAACCAGTCTTTCAGACTTTTGGTATAGAGATCTTTCTAATTTACCACAAATTTTCCCAAATTTGTAAGAATTTCAAGTAAATTGCCTGTGTTTGCATTATCATCACTGCATTTCATAGCTCTTTCTCTTGGGGAATCCCTTTAATACAGTTCTGTTCCTGTATCCTTGTTTCCTTCTTCAGTGTCTCAAGGATTATCTTAGTCCATTTTCCATCATTATACTTGAATACCACAGACTGGGAAATTCATGAAAGAAGTTAATTAGCTCATGGTTCTGGAGGCTGGGAAGTCCAAAAGCATGGCACAGGCATCTGCTCAGAGTCTGCTGATGCTCTTCTTGTGGGGTGATTGCATGGCAGAGGGCATCACATGAGGAGACAGAGCTAGTGCATACCAGAGAGACCTCCCTTTTATAACCATGCCATTTGCTCAATAGTAATGGAATGAGGCATTCCTGAGGAAAAATCCCTCATGATTTTTTATGATAAGACATATACTGAAGTTTAAGATAAAAATAAATTCATTGAATCTTAAAAATTTTGAGATACAAGTACTGTGAAAAAAAGAAAAATTAGAGATCATGGCATCTCAGAGTTGCTGAAAGTATACTTATCCTTAACTTTTTAATTCCTAATCCATTTCCTTCTGTACTTGGGTGCAAGGAAAAGCCCCTTATTTCTTAAAGAAATTTTCTTTTCTTTCTTAAGCTGGTTCAATGATTTTCTGTTTCTGCAAGTAAAATCCCTATGATGGAACACTGGGGGAAAAACAAAAACTCAAATAAAAAATCACTAACAACAAAAAGTAAGTTCAAATGGAATTAACAGTTAGAAAGCACAATTGAAAAATATTGCATCTAATTTCCATCAAGATACCAGTTAAATTTTTTACAGAAACAGAAAAAACATCATATAATTTATGTGGAGGCATAGAAGATCATGAATAGCCAAAGCAATCCTAAGCAAAAAGAGCAATGCTAGAGGGAGCACAATATCTGAATTCAAAGTACACTACAGAGCCACAGCAAAAAAAAGTTCATGCTAATGGCACAAAACAGACAGGTACAAATATGGAATAGAACAGGTAACCCAGAAACCACATAGCTACAAACTGATTTTCAACGAGGGTGCCAAAAACATATGTTGGAGAGCAGACAGCCCATGTAACAAATGGTGCTATGAGAACTGGATACCCACATGCAGAAGACTGAAACAGGATCTCATCCTTTACAAACATCACTTGAAATGGGTGAAAGACATTAACACAAGACTTGAAACTACTAGAGGAAAACACCAAAGATAATGGGCAGAGGGAGAAACTCCCTGGATAAGACTCCAGTAGCTCAGTAAATAAGAAAAGTTTACTAATGGTATTACCAGATATAAATACAGCAGAATATTAATATTCAAATATATAGAGAACTCAAAATATTCTGCACCAAATGAATAAAAAATAGAATTTCAATATGATTCTGCTCTACCACTCCCAGGCATATACCTGAAGGAATCATGGTTAGCATAAAATAGAGATGGTTGCACTCCATGTATATTGTGGTACTGTTCACAATAGCCAGGTCTTGGAATTAGTCTAACTGCCTATCAACAGATGAATGGATAAAGAAAAAATATATATATTCATATATATAAGAGTATTATTCAGCCATATAGAATAAAATTATGTCTTTTGCAGGAAAATTGGTGGAACTAGAGATCATCATGTTAAGTGAAATAAGCTAGGCTTAGAAAGAAAATGTTGCATGTTTTCTTTCATATGTGGACTCTAGAAGAGGAAAAAAGATGATGTGAAAGTAGAAGATATAGTATCAGACAAAAGGGGTAGTTAAGTAGTAGTAGTAGGAGGGAAGGATAAAGGAGGGTAGTAGAGTGATGGATATGATCAAACTATGTTATACATATTGTACATAAAATCCACAATGAAACCCAATGTTCTATATAATTAATATTCACAAATACAAAGAAAGAAAATATATTTATAATAGGTCAGGAACTATTTTAATACAAAGCACTAGAAATGTAAAATGCTCGTAAAGATAAAATCATAAATCTATTAAAGAAATAAAATAATAGAAGTATTAATGGAAAAACAAACACACCACCACAAAAAACTTACAAAAGCTACATTTTAAATAGTACAATTCAAGAAAACAAATTGTTTCAATTATCCCTAAATTTCAGTTCTCTCTAATTGATCTAAAGCATATACATCCTCTGTGGGGAAAAAGGAACCCTCTTACACTGTTGGTGGGAATGTAGACTAGTACAACCACTCTGGAAAAAAATTTGGAGGCTACTTAAAAAGCTAAACCTTGATCTACCATTTGATCCAGCAATACCACTCTTGGGGATATACCCAAAAGACTGAGACACAGGTTACTCCAGAGGCACCTGCACACCCATGTTTATTGCAGCACTATTCACAATAGCCAAGTTATGGAAACAGCCAAGATGTCCACCACTGATAAATGGATTAAGAAAATGTGGTATCTATACACAATGGAATTTTATGCAGCCATGAAGAAGAACGAAATGTTATCATTCACTGGTAAATGGATGGAATTGGAGAACATAATTCTGAGTGAGGTTAGCCTGGCCCAAAAGACCAAAAATCGTATGTTCTCCCTCATATGTGGACATTAGATCAAGGACAAACACAACAATGGGATTGGACTTTGAGCACATGATAAAAGCGAGAGCACACAAGGGAGGGGTGAGGATAGGTAAGACACCTAAAAAATTAGCTAGCATTTGTTGCCCTCAACACAGAGAAACTAAAGCAGATACCTTAAAAGCAACTGAGGCCAAGAGGAAAAGGGGACCAGGAACTAGAGAAAAGGTGAGATCAAAAAGAATTAACCTAGAAGGTAACACACACACACAGGAAATCAATGTGAGTCAATGCCCTGTATAGCTATCCTTATCTCAACCAGCAAAAACCCTTGTTCCTTCCTATTATTGCTTATACTCTCTCTACAACAAAATTAGAAATAAGGGCAAAATAGTTTCTGCTGGGTATTGAGGGGGGGGAGAGGGAGGGGGCGGAGTGGGTGGTAAGGGAGGGGGTGGGGGCAGGGGGGAGAAATGACCCAAGCCTTGTATGCACATATGAATAATAAAATAATAATAATAATAAAAGCATATCCATCCTCAACTAAAATTCAATGGAGATTTTCACTAAAAATTGATGATTCTATGTTCATATGTAAGAAAATCACTCTAAATAGCTATATACAACGAAGTGAGTTTATCTTTCAGATAAAGATTTTAGGTGGCAATGATTAGTTTGATATTCAATAAGGAATAATTATATAAATCTCAAAATTTGACATAATTACATACTAAAATTCATCATGTGAAAGAATAAATAAGATGGAATGTTTAAAAGATTTTAGGACAATTGGTTTAGACTTTGGGATAAAAGTTAATTTTATGACCAACGTTTTATTTCCATCAAAATAAATTCTGTATTAAAACATTTAGTAGCAAAAAAATTAATATTATCAAAGAATTCTATGCAAAATTGGCAGTCAGGTGTAGACCACGCTTATAATACCAACTACTCAGGAGGCAGAAACAGGATCACAAGTTTGAGGCCAGCCAAGGCAACCTAAGTGAGCCCTATCTCAAAAACTCAATAACAACAAGTGGACTGGGGCTGTGGCTCAAGTGATAGAGTGCTTTCCTAGCAAGCAGGAGGCCCTGGGTTCAATCCTCAGCCTGGTAAAAAAGAAAGGAAAGGATGGTGGGAAGAAAGGAGGGAAGAGAAAAAGGGAGAGAGAAGAGGAAGGAAGGAAGGAGGGAAGGAAGGAAAGGGTGTTGAACTGTTGAATAATTTGGTGAATGTGATCAAAATTGGAGGTAGAAAGGCCATTCTGGCATAAATGCTGGAATTTGAATATATGAAAATGTAAAACTTTTAAGCAACAACAAAAATGAATATAAACAAAGTCATGGAATGATACAATGGGAAAATTGTGTATATATAATATATATATGCATACCCCCTTAATAACCCCAATATAGAGAAAATCTAAATCTCTAAGAAATATGCAGTCATCCCACTAGAAAAATGAAAAGAAAAGGTTATAAATGGGCAACACACAAAAGAGTAAGTAAAAAGATAAATATACATGTTAAAAGATATTCAAAAGCCTCACTAATAATTAGGTAAATGCCCATAAAGTATAAGAAACCCTTCTTTTAACAATAAATAAAGAATTGGTACTTGGAGAGTTAGTAAGCAGAACAGTGTTAGTAAGAGTTAGGGTTAGAGTCAGGTTTAGTTGCCTATTCTATTGTGGAAGTGAAGATCAGTATAACTGCTCTAGGGAACAAACTGACAGTTATATCAAATGTATACACCAATCTATCTCTAATATATTCCAAGGAGATACTGGCCCTGAATAAAAGTGTTGGAGGCATTAGTGTCTTGGAACCAGCTCAGAACAACTTTAGGTACGTCTTTTCTCATCTCCATGCTCAGTAGTGTCACCTTGGTAACTTGAAATTAGTTAAGGTGGGGATACTTGTATTTTGGAAATCAGCAAACACTACAAGTCAGAGCTTTCTATTAAGGAGAGACAGTTATTAAACATTTACCAGTATAAAATCTGGTAGAAGCTACTGGGAGAGCATTTCTTCCTCTCACCTGATGTGTCCTTCTCTGTGGAGGGAGCTGGGAAAACAACATTCCCAGGTGCCCTCTGCCACAGAAA